CTTTTAAAAAAAAGTAACGTCGTGTTTTTTTGCGTAAAGGCCCCCCCCATGCCCCCCCCCCCCCCCCGGGGGACCCACTCTCCTTGTTTAAAAGTTTCCTTTTGGTAAACACATAAAAAATTTAACCGAACCCGGGCTGTTGGTTTTCGGTAAAGTTATCCAGCCGTGACAACGGCCACGCAGGTAACCTGATAGCCAGGTCACGCCGCATTGAATGAAGTGTGGCGAAGTCGAAGAATTTCTCAACGTCCCTAAAGGACCTAAATGAATTGAACAAAAACATAAAATGAGCATTTAAAAAGAACAAAAATTGTATTTAAAATGTTGCACGCTCTTCTGTAACAGAATAGAACTCCAGTATCAACGCACTTTAGAAATATCAACGTGTTGTAGAATTATGCATAACGTACTTTAGAAAACGTAGCTCTATCTAGAGTTACAAGCATAGGGTCAAGCCATGGGGGAAAAAGTGAGGAAATAATATATGACCAGCCTTCCCCCGCCCCCACACCCAAACACCCCCCCCCCAACCGAAATGAATATGTATTTATTTCTTAGCTTTAAAAAAAATGTTAAACACAATTTATTAACGGTAACAATCTAGGAGCAAGCAACACCAACTTTAATATAGCAGAAAACATGCTTACTATATCTATCTAGTTTTTCTAACCCCCCAATCCCTTTGTGGGGGGGGGGGGGGGAGGGTGGGGGGGGGGTGGGGGTGGTCAGAATTTGAAAGGGAACTTCATTAACATGAAACAGTTAGCATTTTAAGCGAAATATTGAGCCACTAGGGCTTAACCGGGCCCAACTTTTTTTTCCCCCACTCAGTTCTATTAACATAAATCATGTGGTGTAGGGGGAGGGCCGTTTGTGAAAAGGAAGCAGACATATAGAAGAGATTGTAATTTGTGTACCCCAGAATGTGTCAACATTATTTCAGCAGTGGGACTCGGGTTTCAATATTGTACTTAAAAGGTCATTTAAAATATTTTACTGTTCTAGGACGGATGAGTGGTAAATTAATTATGGTTAAAAATTATTTTTTTTTAGAAACTATAACTGGAGAATTGAATAAATGGTATGAATATAACATCGACGTACACCAACTATACGTGTATAACAAACAGCATACGACAGCGTAGACAGAAATTACCCATATAATGCTCTACGGGAAATTGGAATCCCTAACAAACTTACTCGGCTTGTGCATATGACGATGGCTAACTCCAAAAGTAGAATCAAGATACAGGGAGTTCCCAGCTAATCAGGGGGCCTCAGACAAGGAGATGCAATATCATTTATCCTATTTAACATCACGCTAGAGAAAGTTATTAGAAGCAGACACGTGAGCACCAGTGGAACTATAACAAGCTACTTCCAGAGAGGTATTACAGAACAACGACCATCGGGAACCTTATATAGCCAGCCATTGCAGTACCTGGGATATGCAGACGTTATAGCGCTATTGTGCTGAAACCAAAATGACACAATTAAAGCATTCAGGGAACTTGAAAATGCCTCAGTCACAGGTGGTCTTGAAGGCTTGATGTAAATGAAGCGAGGATAAAATATATGATAATGTCAAGAAACGCCCATGCTGATGATAACATCAATATAAACACCCACAAATTTGAGAGAGTGGCTACATTCAAATGTCTAGGGGCGACTATAAACGAGAACAATGAAATAATGTCGGCGGTGAAAGAAAGGAAAACAGCAGGCAACCGTTCCTATTTCAGCTTATAAAAGCTACTGGGAAGCAAAAACCCACCAAAGGCAACAAAGAATGCAATATACACCACTATCATTAGACCGGCAGTAAATTACGCTTGTGAGACTTGGACCCCTACCAGAAAAGCAATATATACCAATTGAACAAAGACCCACCCAGAGTCGCAACAATTTAAAAAAAAAAAAAAAAA